AATATATATATATATATATATATATATATATATATATATATAATATATATAAAGGATCTTATACACATTTCAAATATAAATTTAATATTTAATATTTTTAATAAAAAAATCACATTTGACCTAAATGTTATATTATAAATGTTCAAATATTGATATTTATCTTAGCATAAAATTAATATTTTAATATTCATAAAATACTAATAAAATTTAAAATATCTTAAAATTATACGATTGTATTCTAACCTTCATTTCCTTTTCCTTGTCTCGATTTCAGCCACCATCGACTCCTCAGCCATGCGACTTATTCCATCGGACGTCTACTCCGTCCGTCGGACGCCTGCTTCGTCGCTTTGTCGAAATCGTGAGAGGAGGAGGATGAATGATAACCCATGTCTGGCTGACTCTTTGCGAACTAAGCCACTGGATGGTGTCCCACTAAAGATTCCAGGCGTAGAAATGCAGACAGACAATGTTCAACAAAGATGCCCATACAACGGTTTGGCAAAATTTGCAGTCAGTGATTCAGTCCATAAAATATCACTATAATTCTAAACCATATATAGATATGTATTCTTGCAGTCTTTTTTTCCTTCCTTCTCTTAGATTCTCACAGCGGCTGACCGAGATAGAAAGAGAGAGAGGATAAAAGAGGAGCTTTATCCATGCGGGGGACCAAAGTTGCCTAAAGAACATTGCGCCAAGAATCTTTCGAGGCAGTGGAAGAAGGCAATCAATCGGAGAAGGGCTTCAACATTGTTGAATCTGCTGCTGCTCTATCACGATCACTTGACAAATCACAAGATTCTTCCTAAAGGATAATAATGCTATGAAATGAATTCCACAATTCCATAATAATCTATTCTTCTGAGGTATATAAGATTGGTTTTTTAAGATTTTTTTTTTTGTGAACAACATTTTACATGCAAAGAACAACACGCACAAACTCGGATAACAATCTACGATGTTGTGAGTACTTGTCAAGACTATACAGTGACGTGAATCAAAATACGTCAAAATTGTTGAATTTCGTATTTTGATGATGAAACCAATTGATAAGTGTTTATGATTTGATCTGTATTTTTAGTGACGCAGGATGCTTCGATCAGGATGAGACAATTAAAGCAGGAAGAATCATGTTGGGCCGGGGGGAAAACATGTTAGAAGATTAGACGTCGAGGCGGTGGATCGATCGACGTATCGATAGAAGGCTTCAGCCATGGATTCGGGCATCGGGCCAAGATGAGCAGATATTACGCCAAGAAAATCGAAGTTGCGGAGTCACTTGGCTGATTGGGCAATAGGTCGCAAGAGAGGACGATGCGTCAAAGAATCGGACAAAGCATCGAGGGACCAATGACATGCCGGACAACATGATTAATGCTTAGTATTAATTGTCTAGATCAAAGTGTGTTTTTACATGTGCAAGATTAACTACGATAGCAAGGCATAAAGCAAAATAAAGTCCCAAAGTCAAGGACGCGATTTTATTGGGAGTTCGAGAGTTCGTCGAAAGTCCAAACGTTCGTCGAAAGTTCTGTAGGAACCAGCCGAGAAGTCTTGGAGCTTGCTAGAGAAGCTCGTTAGAACTCGCCAAGAAGATCGTCGTGAAGTCCAGGAGCTTGCTGGGAGTCCGTTGGAACATTGCCAAGAGATCGTCGGAAGTTAGCTGGTTTTGCCTAAGTCGTGCGGCACCCTTGCGTGTCCGTCCGCAAAGGTCAGCCTCCCCGAAGCCTCCCATTGTCCCTTAGGACAACCAAAAGAGAGAACGGGTTAGAGAGAATGCCTCAATCGGGATCCACAAGCAAACATCTCCGAAAAATACTTCATAGACAATGCAAATTATAAACAGACTTTACAAGCTCTGAATAGTGGCACAACAAAGGGTAAAATGGTCCATTACAGACCGAGAATCTCTCGCACGTGTCCACATGACACAACCTTTATTTACAAGCCTAAAGAGGCCACCAACCTAACTAAAATGAGACTATTATGCCTTCGGCCGCCCCTCTACATGTTGTACAAGGCATGAACATGCCAAAAGACACGGACATACATAAGCATTACATCAAACATCCTGTTTCGAAGTTTGTCCGTGACATTCTCCCCCACTTATTCCTTCGACGTCCTCGTTGAAGCCTTTGTCGACACTGCAACTCCTCGCCTTTGCTGAGTCTTCAATCTTCTGCTCCAGCTACAATGCGCCTCTTGGCTCCTTGCTGCTCTCCGCTGCTGTTTTTGAGTAGTCGAACTTTTGATCCGCCATGCTGCTTTAACTCACCAATGACTCTGACTCTGGTGTGGGGTTGGTTGAGTTGTGTTGATCCTTGTTGATTCCTGCGGATCCCCCCAGATGAAGGAAAAGACCATCCTTACTGCGCCAGTCTCTCAAATGCCTCATGCTGCTTGAACTGGGTGGATGCTTGTTGGAGCTTTAACGAGCATCATCTCGCAAACTTCTGAAGTTTTGGGTCCTTCCTCCACAAAATTTGCTCATTGACTCTTCTTTCACTTAGTTGTCACATCCAAGTAGGTTCGCATCACTTCCACTTTCGATTGGCATTTCGTTGGGAAATGAAGCGGATAATCTACTCTT